ATGTCCCTACTGTAGAGTAAGAACTGAAAACGACGAAGCTCAAAGCAACAAATTTGTGAAAACTAAAACTAAACAACTATGTGTTTAATGTGTGAAATAGCTTCACCATGGGAAATGAATATTTTCGCGATCTGCATCTATTAACCCTAGTAGACCTCTTTTTGAGCAAATTCGTGAGTATGACTCCCGAGCGCTTAAAACCCTACACTAAGACGTAGCGTAGGGGTATGATTTTCGTAGTCAATAGTAGCCAATTACCTTCATATGGAGCGCTATAGCCAATTCCGAGTTGCTCGCATTTCGGAAGAAATAAGCTGTCAGTAACACAATTTCAATCACTTCAAACCATCAAAAACGAAATCAACTGACAAGTCAAATGTACTGCCTTCCAGAGAAGAATTCTTGTTTCAATGTGTATGATGTATTGTCAAAGCGGTTTTTAAGCATTTTTGAGTTTGAAGGAACGACGTGCACTTATTCGACAATCCAATTTTGGATATTTCATTAGATTTCAGATTCCTGGCAAAGTTCAAAAACCGGATTTTGCTGTCATTTCATTGTACTGTTCCCTACAAACATCTCGTTCCTAAGCAGACAGTTAAGCTGGCAATTACGGTATCAGCAGCGGCCAGCACGAGAGCGCACACCGACAACCAGAATGAGTAACCGTATTGATCTTTATGGTCGATTTTATCACCTGTAAATAAAGCTCTTAATCTAAAGCTTGATAAGAGATGAATCGCTGAAATAAACGTTACCAAGGTTGTCTTTGTTGTTCACAGCATACACGATAACAGAAACAAGAAGCATTACAGTCACTAGAAGTGAAAGTGCAGTCAGTGGATGAATAAGGTACTTCTTGCAGCAACATGCACAGCTGAAAATGTACAGAAATAAGATATATTAGCGAAAGGTATGCTTTGAAGGCAGATCGAGACCTCGAACTTGGCAAGCACGTTCTAAAGTGAATTCTTAAAATTCACTTTTTTAGAGGTCATTCATCAACTGTTGTGTGTTCGAAGAACAGCATCTGTGCAGCTTGCCCCTTTTTTCATATTCCTCTTCAAAGTGTAAACACAACAAACTTTTGATCTTTACTCTGTAAATTGCTGACACTTTTTTTTTCAACTATTCAATACAAAAATGCGCGATTTTCATTTCTGGACTTACTGCTGTCAATCTTGATT